AGCCTCAGCCTCAGCCTCAGCCTGTCTCAGCCTCAGCCTGCGTCAGCCTCAGCCTCAGCCTGCCTCAGCCTCAGCATCAGTCTGTCTTCAGCCTCGGCCTCAGCCTCAGCCTGCCTCAGCCTCACCCTGCATCAGCCTCAGCCTCAGCCTCAGCCTGCCTCAGCATCAGCCTGCCTCAGCCTGCCTCAGCCTCAGCCTCAGCCTGCCTCTGCCTCAGCCTCAGCCTGCTTCAGCCTCAGCCTCAGTCTGCCGTCGGCCTCGGCCTCAGCCTCAGCCTGCCTCAGCCCCAGCCTGCATCAGCCCCAGCCTCAGCCTCAGCCTGCCTCAGCATCAGCCTGCCTCAGCCTCAGCCTCAGCCTCGGCCTCAGCCTCAGCCTGCCTCAGCCTCAGCCTCAGCCTCAGCCTCAGCCTGCCTCAGCCTCAGCCGCAGCCTGCCTCAGCCTCAGCCTCAGCCTGCTTCAGCCTCAGCCTCAGGCTGCCTTCAGCCTCGGCTTCAGCCTCAGCCTGCCTCAGCCTCAGACTGCATCAGCCTCAGCTTCAGCCTCGGCCTGCCTCAGCCTCAGCCTGCCTCAGCCTCAGCATCAGCCTGCCGCAGCCTCAGCCTCAGCCTGCTTCAGCCTCAGCATCAGTCTGCCTTCTGCCTCGGCCTCAGCCTCAGCCTGCCTCAGCCTGATCCTGCATGAGCCTCAGCCTCAGCCTCAGCATCAGCCTGCCTCAGCCTCAGCCTCAGCCTGCCTCAGCCTCAGCCTCAGCCTGCTTCAGCCTCAGCCTCAGTCGGCCTTCAGCCCCGGCCTCAGCCTCAGGCTGCCTCGGCCTCAGCCTGCATCAGCCTCAGCCTCAGCCTCAACCTGCCTCAGCATCAGCCTGCCTCAGCCTCAGCCTCAGCCTGCGTCAGCCTCAGCCTCAGCCTGCACCGCCGCCAGACCGAAAACTACCAGCATGTCCTGGCATTAAGGTGTGCAGTAGGCGCTGCGCAGTTCCTTTGAGAGGAAATCTTCGAAAGCAGGGCTGTAGCCAAGAAGGCTACGGGGACGATGATGATGATGATGATGATGATGATGATGATGATGATGATGATGATGATGATGATGATGATGATGATGATGATGATGATGATGATGATGAAGATGATGAGTCTTGGAAGTCTGGGAAGTGGAAGAGCACGAAGTGGCACAGTTGGCTCCGGGCATTCAAAATGCAGCCCGGGAGTGGAGTTCTGGGAAGTGGAAGAGCACGAAGTGGCCTACAGTTGGCTCCGGGCATTCAAAATGTGGCCCGGGAATGGTGTTCTGGGAAGTCCAAGAACACGAAGTAGCCTACAGTTGGTTCCGAGCATCCAAAATGTGGCCCAGGAATGGAATTCTGGGAAGTCGAAGAGCACGAAGTGGCCTGCAGTTGGCTCCGAGCATCCAAAATGTGGCCCGGGAATGGAGTTCTGGGAAGTCGAAGAGCGCGAAGTGGCCTACAGTTGGTTTCGGGCATTCAAAATGTGGCCCGGGAGTGGAGTTCTGGGAGGTCGAAGAGCACGAAGTGCGTGATTGTTTGCTTAAAACGAGCCCGGCCCTGAGCCCGGCCCTCGCTGTCCGGATGCCGCCCAGACCCCCCTGGGGAGTCATCAGATGTTCTCTTTTGACACCATTAGAAACCTATCAGTCTTCGCTGTTAGGTAAAAACTCCACTCCCGGGCCACATTCTCAATGCCTGGAGCCAACTGTAGGCCACTTCGTGCTCTTCGAGTTCACAGAACTCCGTTCCCGGGCCACATTTTGAATGCCCGAAGCCAATTGTAGGCCACTTCGTGGTCTTCGAGTTCCCAAAACTCCAGTCCTGGGCATGAGTTTGAATGCCCGGAGCCAACTGTAGGCCATTTCGTGTTCTTCGAGTTCCCAGAACTCCACTCCCGGGCTGCATTTTGAATGCTGAGGCAGGCTGAGGCTGAGGCTGAGGCCGGCTGAGGCTGAGGCAGGCTGAGGCTGAGGCCGAGGCTGAAGGCAGACTGAGGCTGAGGCTGAAGCAGGCTGAGGCTGAGGCTGAGGCAGGCTGAGGCTGAGGCTGAGGCAGGCTGATGCTGAGGCAGGCTGAGGCTGAGGCTGAGGCTGATGCAGGCTGAGGCTGAGGCAGGCTGAGGCTGAGGCCGAGGCTGAAGGCAGACTGAGGCTGAGGCTGAAGCAGGCTGAGGCTGAGGCTGAGGCTGAGGCTGAGGCTGAGGCTGAGGCAGGCTGAGGCTGAGGCTGAGGCTGATGCAGGCTGAGGCTGAGGCAGGCTGAGGCTGAGGCCGAGGCTGAAGGCAGACTGAGGCTGAGGCTGAAGCAGGCTGAGGCTGAGGCTGAGGCAGGCTGAGGCTGAGGCTGAGGCAGGCTGAGGCTGAGGCAGGCTGAGGCTGAGGCTGAGGCTGATGCAGGCTGAGGCTGAGGCTGAGGCAGGCTGAGGCTGAGGCCGAGGCTGAAGGCAGACTGAGGCTGAGGCTGAAGCAGGCTGAGGCTGAGGCTGAGGCTGAGGCTGAGGCTGAGGCTGAGGCAGGCTGATGCTGAGGCAGGCTGAGGCTGAGGCTGAGGCTGATGCAGGCTGAGGCTGAGGCAGGCTGAGGCTGAGGCCGAGGCTGAAGGCAGACTGAGGCTGAGGCTGAAGCAGGCTGAGGCTGAGGCTGAGGCAGGCTGAGGCTGAGGCAGGCTGAGGCTGAGGGGCTGAGGCTGAGGCTGAGGCCGAGGCTGAAGGCAGACTGAGGCTGAGGCTGAAGCAGGCTGAGGCTGAGGCTGAGGCAGGCTGAGGCTGAGGCTGAGGCAGGCTGATGCTGAGGCAGGCTGAGGCTGAGGCTGAGGCTGATGCAGGCTGAGGCTGAGGCAGGCTGAGGCTGAGGCCGAGGCTGAAGGCAGACTGAGGCTGAGGCTGAAGCAGGCTGAGGCTGAGGCTGAGGCTGAGGCTGAGGCAGGCTGAGGCTGAGGCTGAGGCAGGCTGATGCTGAGGCAGGCTGAGGCTGAGGCTGAGGCTGATGCAGGCTGAGGCTGAGGCAGGCTGAGGCTGAGGCCGAGGCTGAAGGCAGAGGCTGAGGCTGAGGCTGAAGCAGGCTGAGGCTGAGGCTGAGGCAGGCTGAGGCTGAGGCTGAGGCAGGCTGATGCTGAGGCAGGCTGAGGCTGAGGCTGAGGCTGATGCAGGCTGAGGCTGAGGCAGGCTGAGGCTGAGGCCGAGGCTGAAGGCAGACTGAGGCTGAGGCTGAAGCAGGCTGAGGCTGAGGCAGAGGCAGGCTGAGGCTGAGGCTGAGGCAGGCTGATGCTGAGGCAGGCTGAGGCCGAGGCTGATGCAGGGTTAGGCAGAGGCAGGCTGAGGCTGAGGCCGAGGCTGAAGGCAGACTGATGCTGAGGCTGAGGCAGGCTGAGGCTGAGGCTGAGGCAGGCTGAGGCTGAGGCTGTGACTGCGACTGCCGTTGCCACTGCGACTGTCCTCGCGAATGCCACTACGACTGCGAGAGCAGCAGAAGTCTACACCTGGATTATCATCTGAATCTTAAGGGGAATGCTTCCAGGTATGTTGCTACACATCGCTGTGAGGCTGCTTTGCCGGGATAATTGACGATGGTCAGCAATTTTGCGCAAATCCATATCCAGCTCTCCTATTGCCAGGCGTTGCATAGATTTGGCCTCCATGGACCAACCGTTCAAAACCAGTATTTCTTCAAACGCATGTGGGTCGCTTGTAGGAGACGATGGTCAATATCAAGAAACACTTTGTTGACATTGATGTCTATATTGTCGGTGCTGTCCTCCCCAGATCGCGAATGAGTAAAGTCGGATGTGCACTTGCCCTCCTTTTGACCGTTATGTTAATTGATGTACGGTAAATCCACGTTCCAGTTTATGGCAGTTGTATGCTGTTTTAGGTTGCTGGCGCTTTGAAATAAAAAAGGATCTCGACCTTATCTTCGATCGAAACTCAATTCATGTTGTTCGCTCGTTGCGTCCGTTCCGCGACCTGAGGAAAAGGGGCCAGGCAAAGCAAGGGAGGAGCAAGTACAAGGAGGGAACCCGCGCAGCTGCGAGAGCCCCAGATCACGCTTTTTTAATATGCAAAAGCAACATGTGTAGCGCTATGCTGGGGAGGGAATGACGTATGGAGAGTCCACGTGCCCGCAGACGGCAATTGAGCGTAGTTTGAATCATGTTGGTTATGAATTGGCCCGCACAAACCGCTCCTGACCTGGGTCGTCCAATCTCGCTTGTTCGCGTTTATGCCTGTACAGGCTGTTACCAGACATTCCAGTATGTCGAACTTGGCTTCCTGAGTTTTTCGCGAGCGCGTGCTACGTATCCTGTTTCTGCGTCTCGCATTCTTGCTTTTCGAGGTCACGCTGTCGAACCGGAATGCGGCACACTAAAGCAATCCGGAGGCAATTACGGTGGCGACAATAGTACGGTAAGCGGCATTAGTTGTGTGTGTCGAGGCTTTTCGTATTCCCCCTGCCCCCAAACAAACTGGTGATGGCCCGATCCTAGATTCTGAACGGCTGGTCTATTGTTCGGGGCCTTCAAGCAGCAGCCTAGGAGGACGAACAGGAGGAGGAGGAGGAGCAGAAGGAGCAGGAGGAGGAGCAGGAGGAGGAGGAGGAGGAGAAAGATGAAGGGTATGAGGAGGAGGCAGAGGAGGAGGAGGAATAGGAGGAGGAGGAGGAGGAGGAGGGGAGGAGGAGGAGGGGAGGAGGAGGAGGAGGAGGAGGAGGAGGACTAGGAAGAGGAGGAGAAGGAGTAAGGGTAGGAGGAGGAGGTGGAGGAGGAGGAGGAGGCAGAAGAGGAGGCAGAGGAGGAGGAGGAGGCGAAAGACGACGACGACAAATATTGATGACGAGGCAGGAGGAGGAGAAGGTGGAGGAGGAGGAAGAGGAAGAGGAGAAGGAGGAGGAGGGGGAAGGGAAGGGGAGGGGGAAGGGAAGGGATAGGAGCAGATGAGACAAATGGAGGACGAGGTGCGAGCCAGTCCGCTCCTTCTTGCCCCCTCCCCTTCGCTGCAAGGTGCCCTGCGACACGAGTGCCACGAGCGTCCCCCGCGCCTGCATCACGCGGGAGGCGGCACGGCCTTCGAAGTCGGGGTGGGAGGAGGGATCGACGTGAGGAAGAGGAGGAGAAGGGAGGAGGATGGAGAGGAGGACGACGGAGGTGGATGAGGAGGAGAAGAGGAAAGGGGGAGAGCCGGGAGCACGAGGATGAGGAGGAGACGGGGCTGAGGATGTCCCAGCTGCGAGCGCTATTCTGGAGTAAGTTGCGAGGACGACTCGATCGATACCGCGAGAGCAGCTGCTCTTGTTGTAGTCTAGGGGACGGGGGTGCAGTTGGAGCCTGAATAATTCTTTGACGCGACATAGGGTGGAAGCGTCGGAGCGACGAATTCCAGATGACAAAAGCATGGGGGACCTGTGAGGGGCGGTCAAGCGCTATTGCTTTGACGTATGAGTGCGACGACCAAGTTGAAGTGTTGTGCGCGCGCAGTGTATCATAATCACGTGTTGCCGCCAATCGCTGCCTTATACCAAGTGTGTTACAACGGGAACTCTGCACACACGGCCTCTGTTGGCTTGTGGCTGAAAACGTAGCAACATCACATTGGCAGCGAAGCTGCGACACGGTCCCACGATCCCGTATGGTAACCACTGTGCGGTTCATCTCGTTCGGAAAGAGTGCCACTCGCATGTCCAGCGCGAGTAGTCACCCTCGCGGGAGGATTAACTTACCCGCCATAGTCCTTTCTTTCCATTCTCCGCGAAATTGCGTTCAGCACGGAGATGCGCATGAGTGCTGCGTTGGCGTGTGTGGATTCCGGCACGGGAAAAACCAAACAGCACACCGTCACCGAAGCCATCAACAAGGTGGTGGAGGGCCTCAGAGGCGATGCGTTCGATCTGGTCATGGCTATTGGTAGACGCGCTTCTGCCCACGAAGGGCACTGACCAGCTGATCGCCGCGATTCGCCCATCACTATTCCCCGCCGAAGCCAGAGAAGTGAAAGTGCTTTTCCAGCTCAGGCAGTCACTTGTCGATGGCGGGCCGTGACACGATGGCGAGTCACTCCACGAAGGCCGATGCCACGACACGGTGGCGAGCCACTTGCTTTTACATCCCACGGCGGAACTGCTGGTGGAAACTCGCTACAACGTTGCACCCGCAATTTGTCATAAGCTGTGACATGTTCTGATCACCTATATTGGACCTTTTTTTTTTTCTTCTTTTTTTCTTTCAAAAAACACACACACACACACACACACACACACACACACACACACAAAAAACCCAAAAAACTGCCGAAAACTGCATGGCGTTAGCACCCAAAAGGGGCCAAACGTAAGTCGACAACATCAAACATGATTTGTTCTTTCGGTACGGACGCATCCACATCCGCCAAACGGACAAGGGATATCATATGGGCAAGGGTTCCGCCACGTCGAGCTGGAACCATGGGCCGGGCTCCCTTGGCAGGAGCACCGGGAGGAGCACGGTAAGGCACCGCGTCTATTATGCCTCCGACTACGGTGAAGCAGAGGGGCTGTACCCAGAGGAGCAGAGTCCACATGGGTATCAAGCGTCCGGCTACGCGCCCGAGAACGGCTGGAATGGCGTTGCTTGGCGAACGAAAGCTAAGCCGACGTTTTCGCTTCGTGTTGCGGCGGTGCGCACGGTTGCTTGCCGCCAGTGTACGGACAGCTTGAGGGGGGCTCAACTCGAACACGATATGATACGCGATGAGCAAAACACGGAAGAGGATGCCAATGAAGGTTACGGGAGTTGTCCGAGAGAGCCCGTTTGCCAGTCCTAGGCGCCGAAAGCGGGGGGGAAGGCACAGGCAAGATCAGACAGCAGAATTGCACCCCCAGGCGCGCCCAACATTGGAATGGGAACGACTGTGGCACGCGAAGTGTAACATTTGGAAACATATTTTCGGGGCCCTCACTGCAAAAGGCCGCCCGGAACACAAAAAAAAAAACGACAGCTTTCGCAGTTGATCGGATGACAAACGTGGACGACGTCGAGACAGGTGATCTCCACGATTCGCACCTACCGTATCTGTTGCTGCACCATCCAAAGTGGGAGGCGTTGTCGTTCACGACCGGATCCACATTGGCCCCAACCGAGCGCGAGCTTGCTGCCGCCGATTCGCTCTGCCGACGCCCCCCCCCCCCGACGTCTACTGAGCCCGGCGAGGAGGTCGCCTCGATCCCACGACTCTCGCAGACCCTTCCCAGGGTTGACGAGGCGGTGACATTCGGCCCCTTGGCGGCCCGCGCGCAAAGCGGGCAAGCCCCGGGGGCCGCGGCCCCGAGTTCGGCCGCCGCGTCGGGCGCGGCGGCGGCCGCAAGTGTCCTGGACGAAGAGTTCGGGATTGCGCCGGGGCCTCTGGCCACAGGGCCCGCGTTCGGCAGGGCAGCGCCGTTGCTCGCGTCGACTGCGCGACGCGGGGCCAAGATGTCACCTGACTACGCGACCCGGGGTCGCTGCGTGGAGATGCCGAGCGACGGGCAGAAATATTTCCGGCCTGGCTTGAGACCCACGCATTATTTTGAGACGGGCGGCGGAAACAATATTGTTTTGAAGCCCAGTCGCTCCGATGTCATCGCCGCCCCCAGCTTCTGCGGGGCGGAGAAGACGAAGCTCCCCAGTGCTGCTCTGGCACAGCCGCGCAAAGGGTGGTGCGCCCACTTCAGCTGGGCAGTGCCCTAGGCTGATCGATCGCGATGCTTGCTCGCTCGACGAGATCGACAGCGCGGGGGTCAACGCAACGGCGCGTCAGGTCTCGCTGCTGCCAGTGCCATACACGCGCGGATGAAACGCCGAGGCTTCTCGCCGACGAGCACGGGGCCACTGCGAACGAGGTCGAGGGAGCCGCCGATTAGCATGCGTCAGCCACCGGGTAGCTCGTCGAGAAGGACCGCGCGTCCTGGCACGGCTCGGACGCACGCCTTCGTTTATGAGAAGACCCTCTACAAAAGCACCAGGTCATCCTGCGAACCCAAAGCGCGCGAGGTCGACGACGGCGCGGGGAGCGGGCGCCAGAGCGACGGCGATTCGTCTCCGGCGCTCAGGTCGCGCAGGTCTTGAATGGTTTCAAGCGAGAGGTGTCCGCGAACGTCGAACATGCCGGCGAGAGGCGAGGAGCGCGGTTCGCGAATGCGTGACCGTGGTCGTCGACCGCGTCGTCGGCTTCGCGGCGCCGTCCGCCGCTCCGGCGACGGGCGCCGAATCGACCCGTCCGCCACCTTCGGCGCCCGCGCGCGCGCCGCGACCCGAGCGCGCGGGCATCGCGGGGCGAACGGCGCAGCTCGAATTGCCGCGGGGTTGACCAGGCCAGCAATGGGGAAATGTCAGCCACCCGGTCTGTCTCTTGAGCGGGCCATTCGCAATCGCGAGGCGCGCGCTGGGATCGGCGACCGCCCGACGCGCTCATTGACGGCCCGCGCCCATTGACGGCCCAGGGCCACGCCCGCCTCTCATTGCCGCTGCCAGGCCAAGGCTTCACTGAGATAAATGAAAAGGTTCGCCTCGGGGCGTTGCGCCGCTGCGTTTGCTCGCGTTTGCTCATCGCTCGCTTGGGCCAGTCCAGCGGCGATCCCGGCCACCTGTCGGAAACGACTCGCTCTCTGCGCGCGTCATCCACCGCTCGCGCCCTGATCGCCGCACAGGGCGGGGGGGCGGGAACTTCGCGCGCGGCCCCCCGGATTTCACCCGCGGTTCTCACCGCGCCGTCTTTCGAGTGATAATCAACGCATGCGCTTCTCGCGCGCGTCGCGCATCAACCTCGAGTTGATCGCGTTCGGTTTGCGTCGGCGCGGCGCAAAGATACGCGTCTCCTGCGGTCCGCCTGGCCTGCGCGCTGGCCTCCGCCGCCTGCCCATGACCTTGCGCGGCCGGGGTGGCTCGCGCTGGCCCCGCGAGCTCCCCGACAAGCTTTGCGCCCCCAACGCCTTCCCAGATCCCCCCCTCTCTCCATCGCGTTCCCTCTGGGTCCTCCATTGCCCCGCGCAATTGCGACGAGTATTTCCCCCTCCCACTCTTTTCGTTCGTCGCTATCCCGGCGATCCTCGCCGCCACCCGGTCGCAGATGTCAGCGGGCTGGGCGGCGCTTCGGAGCGACCCCAGACCGCGCTAGAGGAGCATGAGCGGATTTCGCCGATGGCATAGCCGCTAGTGTCGCCATTGGCGTCGACGTCATTGTCGGTCGACGCCGCAAGCACAGCGGCGTCGCCACTCTGGGCAGGGAAGTCACAGGCGCGGGCCGAAAACGCAGGCAGGCATCGACGCAAACCCGAGAACATGCTTTCGAATGCGCAGGGCGAGGAGATGCAGGCTTTCCGAATTAGCGACTGCGTTCGAGGGTAGGCCGCTGCTGAAATCGCGCAGCCATCAATGTCGCCATTGGTCTCGTCAACGCCGCGCTCTGGCGCAGCTGCTGGCGCCGCCATGGGCGCCCTCGTCAGCGTCGCCAGTCGCGTCTCCATTAGCGTCGCCGCAAGCGCCGATTAGTGCAGCGATTCGTTTCGCAATGTATGTTGCCATTCGCGTCGCTAGTGCGACTCTGGCAGTCTTCTCGGGACCGGCTAGCGGCGCGGCGCTATCTCGCGGGCCCAGGAGGGCCCGCGGAGACTTCCAAGCGTTGTCGGAGAGCTAAGGGCCCGCTCGAGGCTTTCTTGCCGCCCCCGCGACGGCCGCCGGCAGCTCTGTCAGGGGTCAGAAGGGCCCGCCGAGGACCCACAACTTATTCCAAGATAGTGCCTGAAGCCTGCGCATGCTTGTTTTTCCCGGCATGCGATGCTGGGGACCATTCGGGCGCCTTCTCGGAAGATGGGCTACTCTGTCATGGCGGGCGCCCGCGCCTTCGCGCGCATATCTGGACGCAAACCGATGGCTCCATGACCGCGGTCGACGGCGAGTCTCTGCATGTCTTTTCGCGCGCGTGGCGCGGAGGCCACGCGGGGGCCTGCGCGGGGGCGGCAATCGCGCAAGGCCTTGGGCCAAAGACGCGGCCGCGGCCGCCGTCGACATTGCGCGCTATAAGATTCAGGAATGCTCGCGCCTGGTCG